GTCATCCCTAGTGATTGTTCACTGCTGATCAGTGTGCGATCTTGTACCCTAGGAGATCGAGCATAAGTAGCATATTCTCTTCAAAAAAGTAAGGATATTCAGAAACAATACAAAACTGCGGAAATGCACTGCTGTTTTTATTAGAGGTAACCAGTGTATGTTAATAACAGACCAATTGCCATCTCATGAACATAAACAGTTCATATGGGCAGCTTATCTGACGGCCCCATTACACTCGCAAAGAGATGCACTGTCAAAAGTGAAAATGGACGTTTTTGTTTTTTGTCTTAATAATAAGTAATTGCTGCACCAATCCTAAGACATTCAGCAATTCATCGTGACATGCTCCTAATCAACCGCCCAACCACGATTTGGCCGACCCACTCCTCTTGCAGTGCCACGGCCAATTCTCGCAGTGTTGTCGGTTGACGTTGACGTCGACGAATACGTCTCCCGATCAAATTAAACGTAACACACTAAAGCAAAGATACGCTAAACAGAAAATCTTATGCAAGAACCGATAGGAAAGCAAACATGGTTAGGATAAACCAGCACGCGGCAGTTTTCATCAACCCTTCCTTGAAGTGTCAAATTTGACAATGAACCCCTCCCACGTGTATGGCGCTATTGCGTGTCGCATGTGCAGCTCAGTGGTTCGGTTGGGGCGATAAGTTCTTCACCTGTGAACATACTCTCAAAGCATGTCAAGTGTCCATGACTATTTATCATAGGTATTTTATTAAGTTGGCATGCCGGTTTGAAGGTGTTTTTTCTATTATTTGTAACATATTATATTTTCGTTATTACTGCCAGGTTCTAAGTTAACAGTTTTTAAGTTGTGATTATTAATGTTGGTCTGAGTAAGATGTGATATGGTGAAACCCTATTAAGGTTGGTCTTTGATCTTTAGTACTGATTATCTGTTATTATCCTACTAAAGGGTCAGTCATTATTATGTTTTTTTTAATTATTATTTGTTGTTATTGTAGGTGCTTCTAATTATTTTAATGGTTTCTTCTGATTATTTATTAAGTTGATGTAAGCTAAAATATGTATAAATAGGCTGACTAGATGGATATTTATCTCTACGATATCACCTTAGGTGGAAGTGGACGTAAAACACCAGAAACGAACGAACGGATATTTATCATTGTCTACGATATCACCTTAGGTGGAAGTGGACGTACAACTCCAGAAACGAACGAAGGATATTTATCTTGTCTACGATATCACCTTAGGTGGAAGTGGACGTAAAACTCTAGAAACGGATATTTATCATTAATTTGAAAACGTGACCTGTATGTGTTACGAAACGTCGTTATTGAATATATATCCATATATACCTTGTATTGTGTTTTGTTATGAGTGAAGTTTAACGTCCTACTATTCTGGTCCGACTGGGCTAATGAAGACGGGCATACGCCATACAATGTGCTATCCGGACAGCGGCGTTAGGACCTACTCTTATATCGAATTCCAACTGCCAAGGGATCTTTAACATGCCAGACATTGTATACACGGGACCTCGGTTGTTCATGCCTACCGAACGACTAGACAGACAGCTGTACTTGTCAGGAAACCTTGTAAAGAGAGCTAGAATAGTTTATAACACACAGGTCACGTTTTCAAATTAATCATAAATATCGTGTGTGCGCGTGAAATAGTTTTATTTAACGTCCGCTTCCACTTAAGTGATATCGCAGACAATGATAAATATTATTTCGTTCGGTCCTGGAGTTTTACGTCCACTTCCATCAAGGGAGATATCGTAGACAACCACGGTAAATTTCCATCTAGTCAGCCTATTTATACATATTTTGGCTTACACTAATGGTGCTGTGAGGAGCCATTAATAAACGGATTGCTAATGCGTTGCTCCTGGGTATAATGTTAGGTCTAAATAATAAGGCTTTCTGCAGATTTGGTCAAGGTAACGAGATGTAAACGAGGATAGGGCTAACCCTATCCCTAATATCGAGCCCTAACCCTAGCCCACAATCTCAACAATCACGTTCCCTGACCCTATTTACATCTCGCGACCATGACTAAATCTGCAGGTGGCCTTAATTAAAAACCTGACTCTAATCTGAACGTCTAATCTGATGACGTGTGGGAGCAGTCTGGCCCTCGTGGGCCCAACGCTCCGATCTGAAGAGGGCTGATCTTGGAACGACATCAACTGACGTCTGTTTTTTAATCTATTGATTTAGTGGAACGACATCAACTGACGTCTGTTTTTTAATCTATTGATAGCTCCATGTGAATAGATACCTGATTATCGTTGTTTGTTTTTCTTCATCTTTAACACGGAAATATGTTACCTGTTTGAACTTATAACCCGAGAAATGTTATTAGTTTTGTTTTTCAATTTATTTCATGTCATATCCCACATGTTACCTTAACCAATCTACATCAAGATGTTTAGAAAACGAGAAGAATGCAATTGAAACGTAATTAATTAGTTCTATCGGGAATTTGTTACGAACAATGGGTATGCCTATGTGCATTATCAATATATTGAACGCAGATTGACCTTATAGTTTTGTTTATGCTAGGTTTCAAATAGCCGTGCGATGCGTTAGATAGGATTTTCTCTACGCGCAGATACATTCGGATAGGTTTATATACGATCAACACGGCTGCTACGACTGACCTTAATATATGAAAAGACCTGATAGGATCACCACGATTACTCCACGAACAAAATCACGATTTTAATCGCTGTACGAATCGTGGTAGTGGGAACCTAGCATTATCAATGTATGTACAATGGGTACGCGCAAATCGAATTCGAGGGATTTAACATGGTGACAATTTGAATTCAATGGCGGTCCCTCTCACGGATTTCTAGCCTGGTTTAACCTTGTAAAGGATGCAGGAGGTAGGCTATAGTCTGGAAAGGCAAAACATCTAGTCGTTACCATTAGACAAAAATCGAAAGTTTCAATTACACGTTGGCTTGCAGGTAAAATAGCTCTTGGTTTGCAGTAATCGGAAACGCTAGTGACAGGGCGAAATGTTCCTACTGGCAGACTGTATGTCTTATGGTCATCTTCATAATCCCGAATCACGTGGGCCACTTTTCATTTCATGTGATTGTGCTCTTTACAAAATTGGCCCGATGACAACCTGTGGTTCAAACAGCCTTGACTTTCCATATACGTGCTTGTCTACTAGTGGGTATTACATTTTAATAATGCATAAGAATTAGTTGTACACAGTTGACATTAGGGATAAGTCTAGCTTATTTCTAATGCAAGGATAATAATTTAATTAGGGATAATCTTGGTTTGACTCGGAGCCTTGTTCGACTCGGTACCATGGATTGTCTCGTCAAAGCCGGTTTGACACGGTACCCGATTCAAATCGTTACCTGATTTGATAATTCGGGTATCCGATAATACGCTTCAACTTGTTATATGGTAACTCGGAGTGGATCGGTACCTAATTTGACTCGGTACGCGGTTTAGATCGGAACCTGGTGTGACTCGGTACCCGATTGGACTTGGTAACTGGTTTGACTTGATACCTGGTTTGACATGGTTTCCGGTTTCATGCACTACTCGGTGTGGATCGGTTCATGGTATCTCCAAACCGCATCTCTTACAAAATTACTTTGTTCTCCGTTTTCATAACGAGAATTGCTTTTCCTTATATAATAATGGGGGGGGGGGAGGTGGATGGCCGGATTGTTAGCACGTGCGCGCTGTATCATAAGGTCTGACATTGTGTCAGCTGGCGGGGTTTCGATTTACCGGATGTACGTGACAAGGAGTAGGGTCGCCTGTCCAACCTCGTGGGTTTCTCCGGGTCCTCCGGTTTCCTCCCACTGCTAAAGACCCCTACGCGCAAACGAATTATTGAAATAAAATTGAACCATGTGTTAGTCCCGAAATTAGCTAGTTTGTGTCGAGTGGACGTTAAACCCTGTTTCTCTCTATATATATAATAATGTGGTGTTATTTTTGTCACTCGTTAATATTTTACTCATGAATTGACCTACTACTGCTTTGTATATAATGTATATGAAACCAACACTCCGCCCCCACACCCGAATATACACGCACATTTGTGGCTTTAGAGACATAGCTTTCAAAACCGAAATTTTTTAAAAAATATAGATAAACATTAACCTATAATTGTTGGAAATATGACATTATCTACATTATTAATATAATTTTTAAATGGTGTAATCAGAGATGCTGTTATATCTGACCTTTTGTCAATAATACAGTTTGATCTTTCGCTATATAGCAGGGAGCCACGTTGGCTCAGTTATTCGATCTTGGTCTTGATCGAGATAGTGCCCCTGGATTTTAAAGCGTAGTTTAATGGACGGTATTTTACGGATTGGATGGAAATAAAAGCCGAGGAGCCGGTGTATGCATGTTAGCGTGCATGTAAAAGAACCTTTGACAGTAGGAATTCGATGAAAAGTAAGCGGAAGAGCTGCTGTTCGAATATAATCGCTCCTATAGCACACTGCATGGCGTGTGTCCGTCTACATTTGCCCGGTTGCTTTTGAAAACATGAACGTTAAACCCGTTTTCATTTCATTTTGCTAAAAAGGCTCTAATGGATTTAATAAGCTGATTATCGGGGCGTAAAACCATGTGAATAATTGATTTTTAATCCAAGTTAATTTTTAATCTGTGTTAACTTTGATCGATGAATCTGGATAATGAGGTACAATTTGTTTTGAATCGTGAAGGATATAAAATGAAATAGTTGTTTAAGGTCCTCATTTAGTGACCATCCGAACTCATATATCATTGCTGGATAAGACAAGCGATGCCAATTCGATATTTCGCTCAGATATAAGCAGTAATTCAGTTCAGATATAAGCAGTTCAATTACTAAAGACCACTGAGAAAATCTAATAAAGATTATTATAATAAAGACGGACGCACGCCATGTAGAGACATAACAGCAGCGAATCTGTGGCAGATTCAACACCTAATGATCATTTGATAAATATTGGTTGTCTTTGTGCTTTTCAGGTGTTCTACGGAGTTAGACTGTATTGTGGTTCCTCTACATGCAATAAATTGTATACGACTGGTTTTGAAAAGAAAAGGTAAATTATAAGTATTTCTTACACAAAAAAACCCAACAGTATCGGGTTCCCCCTTGTCGGTAGTGCAGGACGAAGGTGTTGACCAGGGCAGTGTCTGGTTGTTCGGTGAGATGAAAAGCCGAGGTATCGTGTACACATTTTCGAGCACTTAAAAGAACCCCTTACAGTTGGTATTCGAAATAGGAGTAGGCCGTAGCGTCGTTGTCTGGGACAGTGTCCCTCAAAGGGCACTGCAAGTCGTATTCTTGTCTGTATTAGCTCCATCGTCGGTGAACAACCATAGGACGTTAAACCCCATTTCATTTCATTTCAAAAACGTTATAACTAAAAGGTAAATGGGCTATTGAAAATACATGTCCTGATTTCGGATTTTACGAAAAATACCGAGGTCTGGTGTATACACGTAATTAACCGGGCAATATTTATCTTATAGCACAGTAAGCCATTATGGCTTATAGTGATGAAGGCGCTGGCTCACTAGAGCCTGACAAGAAACACCTAGGTCCCGTGTACACGTTAGACTATTTGACCGCCAAAGCCCCGCCCAAATATGGTACAAAAACTGAGATCATGTGTACAGGCCCCGCCCTTTAAATTAGAGTTACCCCCACCCCCTTTAAATAATTAATCCGTGTTGCAAGTTTATCACATTAGTTAACCATGATTAAATCACTTGATATATGTGGACTTTGTCATCGACACCATATTTTATGGTGCTAAAACGGTCTATGGATGTAACAGATTACCCCAAGGGATCCAAAATATGTCTGGGTCGTCACGAGGGGTCATCCAATCACACTTCTAATTTTCTTTTCAGAACCTTGATTTTCTCAAAGTCAGGACCTTGATTTTTTGTCAAATGCGTTCAATGAAATGCTCATATTAAATCCCCGCCTTATTCAATTGTGCAAATAAAATTAGAATTAGGTAAATAAAAAAAATAAATTGATCAGGTTTTGATATTAAAAACGACGCAGAATATTCTGAAAAATGATTTGCCGTAAAATGGAAGAACGTAAAATTATGATTATCTCTTGTTCTTTCGGGAATTTCTTACTTAAACTGATAAATTTTACAACTAGACAGCATCTAATTAAACCAATATAAGTACCAATCTGGGAGGTGGTACAAATTAGTCGTGGCAAATTATTCGCGAAAACCACATTGATTCCGTCATACTCTGTCTGCTTTTTAGACCAGAAATTGGTCCCAAAGAGCCACCTACCGTCCTCGGTTTGCTGGCCAGACTCTTCGAAAAAAGCTTTAAAGGGCTCCGTAACGCAAGTACGACCAAATTGAAACTTATAATGATTAATATTTGCTAAAACAAGGAAGCACCGTAAAAACTGCATTAAAATGCGAGATCAAACAAAAATCTTACAATATATTTACACAAATTGTCTATTTTGCCATACAATTTGTTGCATTCGTGCATGGTGTTATTGCAGACATGTAACATGCCGAACATATTGATCGATAGACGGGTCAAGAGTTTGTTTTGCATGGTCCTTTATATAATATACTTTAGCAAAGTCATCCAAATCATCTTCGGACACCCACGAATTTATCATTGTTGCGACACATTTCCCACGAATGATATGTTTCTGCTTTTCCTTTCTAATTCGTCTTATGATAACTTTCCGAGTTGACTTGGGTGCTGTATCCCATTCTCTTTCGCTAGATTAATCCAACATTCATATTTGTAGTCTTATTCCATCGATGTATATATTTAGACAAACACTGCCGGTATTGATTGGCCCTCCGACAGTGCCGGACTGGGGGGGTCGAAGGCCCACCTGTCATTTCATTTACCAAGGCCCACACAAGTACCCGCCGAAGGCGTGTCACGAGCGCGGTCCGAGGGGGGTCTTTGGGGCTCTCACCCCAGGAAAATTTTAAAAATTGACAACAGCAAACCCATTTTCCAAGCATTTCAGACCAAAGCAGTAGAAGGCAAATGTTTGATTTCCTGATACAATTAGATAACAGAATGACCTAAGAGCACTATTATTAGAGGAATTTGAGAATTCTAGTACACTTCTTTTTTTGTGTTGTTTTTCACTTTTTCCTATCTTTTCTTTCTCCTGTCCTGTCTCCTGTTCTCTCCTTCCTTCCTTCTTTCTTTTCTTTCTTTCTTTTCTTTCCTCCCCCTCTAATTCTCTCTTCTTTTGTTTCTTTTTTTCTTTTTTCTTCCTCTTTTTTTCTTTTTTCTTTATAGGCTTAGGCCCACTTTTTTTAAAATGAGCTTAGGCCACCTGCCACGGACAGGTGGAGAGGTGGGTCCAGTCCGGCACTGCCCTCCGATGTCCGGTTGACAACTTTGACACTTTCCACAGAAAGTGGCCTCAACGCCACTTCAATAGTTTTAGGCATCCTGGGGACCCATGGGTATCGCTTCGTTTAGAACGTCACTTTTCCTAGTAAGAAATTCTTGACGACGCAGTTGATCGCGCCCCTTTCTTGGCTGAAGAACGATGATTGTTCTCCGGATTACGATGCGTAGAATTAAAACATATTTCTGTGGTACAGTTATCCTGTCTCAGGTTCTATGTTACTAGTAACATGTCCATATACACCTGCTGGAAATGAGAGTGCTATATCCATGTCGTTGTCACGATCACTTCATTCACAGGGAGGATTCGCCGGAAAATACGAGAAACTAAATCATCTACACGCTTTCTCCACCATCTGTCGTAGTGTTGTATTCTGGGGGTTGCAGCTTATTCCAGTACTAACGACTATAACTCAGATAAATAGTTAAAGTTGTACTTTTAATAAACAAGTGTCCAACGCTGGCTAACGGTCACAATAATTATAATAATAATAATGTGCATTTGTAAAGCGCCAAACCCATGCATCCAAAAGCATGTCAAAATCACACTGAGAAAATAGTTATGTACACAGTAAACAGAGAAAACCTAATTCTCATAGCATTCCCGAAATAAGCGAGTCTTAAAGTTACAATTTCATATTTTCTAAGAAAGTCAAAACATAATTATTCCTATGACTTTTGCTCAATGGGTTGTCTACTCACTATTATACGATCGTAGGTTATCTTTCTCACACTTAAAAATCTTCACACCGGTAATAATAACACAATTACCTCCCAATTACCTCCCTTATTTCCTATTACCCACCATGGTCTAGCTATCCTCAAACGTTTGAATTTGAAGTTGAAAATGGTATTTTTGCCAATTTCTTAACTGGTAATAGTGAATTATAGGATTAATATGATTATTCTTTAACAAGGTAAAATTGTTTATAGATACCATCTATTTTAGGGCTTTATTTTAATACATTTTAAAAATATAACTTAAAAATATGAAATTGTAACTTTAAGCTGTGGATTGAACCGTCTTCAGTAGCCCAGTTCGGAGCAAAACAGTAGGACGTTAAAGCCTATTTAATTTCATTTCTGTGGATTGAATGTTTCTCAGTTTCGGATTTTCAGAGGTAAATCATTCCATAATTTAAGAGCAACTACGCTGAAACCTGTGTCAATAAAATGTTTCAATTTCAACTGTGGAACGACAAGGGTGTTCTGGTTATAAGATCCGAAGGTATGGCTATGACGAGCCGATCAACAGACTAAAGTTACTGTAGAATATGGAACATACAAAATTAGGAATAAATTAAGAAATACTAAATTGCACATAAGAGACGGATGTTTAAATACCGAAGATGATATGGACATAGCAACAACGCTTGTTAACTATAATTACGTAATATATATCATTACATTAAGTATAAACTAAAACAGTTAAAAGATTAGTGCAGTATCAATCGATTCGACATAGGTCAATTGCTATTTTGACTAGAATTAAATAGATATAAAAAAATATGCAAAGATACACTATAACAGTACTATCGTACAAAATGGAGTAAGAAGAAATGAAATGAGGTTTAACCTCCCTCTTTTCTGTCTGAATCGGAATAATGAAGATGGGCACATGTCATTCAGTGTGCTAATGTGGATTTTTTACCCGGACAACCGCGGCGTTACGGCTAAGTTTATACCGTATTCCATCTGTCCAGCATCCATTTACATGCACTCCAACGTGTATACTGGAGCTAGTATTCGTGAATCCGAATGACTAGTCAATCTTCCTCGTTTCGTTTCATTTTCACTCTGTGGCCTCAATTTAATAACAATTAAATAATTTAAAAACCGTGTGCTTCATCCAACCCAATCTCCCCTCCACACTGTTGGAAATCCCACATAAGCTATTGTTCGGTTGCTTGGCTGATATGACATCTCAACATATGTCTGGAGACTGTCATAAAAATTCCACAGATCTTTCAAACTGAATTTAATGCAGACGCCTGTTTGTAAATTATCTCAAACAATCTCTTGACATAACAGACAAATAATTCCTGGAATTATGACCGACCATATACCCTTTGACTTATCCAAGTAAGCAGGTTTATCAGCGATTCGCCCGACGTATAATCCCTCCTTCTTCGCTGTGTTGCTTTCTTCCCTGGCAGAAGTAGACTCATTAACCGACGAAAGCGTCTTATGGACATTTATTGGTCAACTAAGCCTACTGAATGCGTGTAGACTTGGTCATTATGATCCTGTCAGATGTAAACAAAGATATCAAAAGCGAAAATCTAACAACCGTTCAAGAGAGAGAGAGAAGGAGAGAGAGAGAAAGAATTTAATGCAATGCCAACTCAGTCTTGCGCTTACGCACAGAGAACATCCACGAGGTTCGACAAGTGACTCTACACTTAAACTATTCGTTCATTCAATGCATAATATTTCCTTGCTTTTTGTTACTGTTGTATTGACAATAAATTCTTCTTGGTTGTAGCTTTACAGCTGTATAGTGAATCTAAAGTCTTAATATCATTCGGTAAATCGTTCCAGATAATTACGGCGATATAATAAAATAATGTGAACTATTCTCTACTTGCGCGGGAGAGGGACTGAATTGTTAGCACATGCCCTCTATATCATAAGGTCTGTAATTGAGTCAAGTTGCTTGGTTTCGATTCCCTAGTTGTACGTGACAAGGAGTAGGGTCGCCTATCCAAACCCGTGGGTTTTCTCCGGGTCCTCCGGTTTCCTCCCACTGCTAAAGACCTCTACGCGCAATCGAATTATTGAAATAAAAAATTCAACCATGTGTTAGTTCCGAAATTACCTAGTTTGTATTGAGTGGACGTTTAACCCCATTTCCTTCTCTATTTTTACAATCATTATAAAACATAGTGTGCTAGGTGCATATACCACAACGAACAAATTAACTGATATGAGATTTAGCATCTTAATTTCTGGTACTATACTGTAGGGGAACTGTTGACACTGCAGCGTTACTACGGCCTATGCTTATTTCGATTTTTAACTGTCGGGGGATCATTAACATATTGCCCATCTCTCTCCCCCCCCCCCACAGATTTTGGACATTGACGGAACCGTGAACTATATACAACTCGGTTGCCACTGCCAGACATTTTAGTTGGAATGCGCGGAACACTATTTTCTATCAAGGATCCATGACCAATCGAAATTAGTAACGAGAAAAGGAAGAGTATTACGCGAAGGCCTTGATTAGATGTACGGAGTTAAATCGGCATCAAGCCTTCTAATGAAAATGGCTCCATGGCAGACTATCGCCAACAGGAGACGACCACAATCAAAATCGTTCGCATTACTTCTTATAAGTCTTTCTTGTTTATCATTCATTATTTAGTTTTTCATTTTGACTGAAGTCTGTGTTGTTACAGGCCTGGATCTGTACAGCGCAGTGGATACTTACGTCTTGCTCCCGGGTCCATGCACTTGATTACATTTTTGTTTTGTATTTTGTCTGGTCCGCAGATTTGTCTTATCAGTTTTGTTTGCGCGAAGTGGATTTTCTGTTAAAGACTGTTATGCGCAAGCTGATGATTGAAATAAATATGTTGGTCCCGAAATTACCTAGTTTGTGGCGAGTGGTCGTAAAACCGCATTTTTCTCACACACTTTTACCATATAGTACACCCATTGAAGTAAGTGCTTTAGCGCACGCATTACAAGGTTAAGAATCGTGTTGGACAGGCTTTCAGATGTTCTAAAATCGTCAACTGGTAATTAGATAAATGGTATCGACCGAAATCACTGGTGTGACAAATGTAGGAAATTATAGATAATTGCTTTTTGATACCAGATACAAATCTGATAATCCAACAGATTCCAAATTGTTATATTTTATCGGGAAATGAATAATGTCATTTGCATTATTTATATAACAAACGAAAAATCTCCCATGGTCTGTACAGTTTAAACTAAACGGTTAAGGATTAAAGACGTATTCCTATAGAGATAATTGGGCCATCTATTATATCCGACATTTAATTGGGTCATCTATTCAATCAATATTTAATATGATCTTCTGTTATTTCAGTTTAAAATAGGGTCCTCTATTATTTCAGTGTAAAATAGGGTCCTCTATTCTACCAATATTTAATTGGGTCATCTATTCTAACAATATTTAATTGGACCATCTATTCCAGCGATGCTGAATTGGGTCATCTATTCCATCGATTATATCAATAATGAATTGGGTCATCTATTCTATTAATAGTTAATCAATATTAATCACTTAAATTTTTCACTTTTTTAGAAATATTTTTCTTTGGGTATCATTGGGCGATCTGTTCCACTCAACAAACTCGTTCATCTGCAAATACGGTTCTTCTAACAAACTGAAACCAAGGTCCCGTGAACACATTGGTTTGCACGTAAAGGATCCCTTGGCATTAGAATTCAATATAAGAGTGGACCGGAGTGCCGCTGCCCGGGCAAAATGTCCCTCATAGCAAACTGTGGCACAAGCCGGTCTTCATTAGCCCAGTCGGACGTTAAACCCCATTTTATTTCGTTTCATTTTTAATGAACTGTAAAGTTACAGTTTTTTAGCATGTTGCTAGAGAAATAGATTGGGTCACTAACCTAAACAAGCCCGGTCCCACGTATACCACTCTATTCTAGATTGCAATTGAATGCAGTGGGGATCGACCTTTATGCCTGGCTCGAAAAAACCTGAGGTTCAGATGGAATTCATAGAAGAGTAGGTGGATGCACCGCTGCCCCCCCCCCCCCATGACCTGTTTGTAAATCACATTTCATTCCTGGTATCGATTTAAGAAAAACATCTCTGATAGAATACATTAGAATATACAATAAGGTAGATAATAATTCTTTGTCTGACCTCATGACACATGTTTCATCCCTGTGCTATCAGCATTCACACCATTCTTTTGATTGGTCTAAGCCAATAAAACCGCTCATTAGAAGCGGGGTTTGGATGGCCGAATTGTTAGCGTGTGTGCGTTGTATCATAAAGGGTGTCATTGAGTCAACCAGCGTGGTTTCGATTCCCCAGTTGTACGTGACAAGGGGTGGGGTCGCCTGTTCAACCTCGTGGGTTTTCTCCGGGTCCTCCGGTTTCCTCCCACTGCTAAAGACCCCTATTCAAAAGCGAATAAGTGACATAAAATTGAACCATAAACTTATGCCAAATCTGTTTGCTTACTATAGAGACCTGAGAGCGTGTTGAACCAACTACGTCACTTTTTTATAAAAAATAAATTTCTCACTTACATAAAATAATTTTGCTTATGTTACAGAGGAGATTATATATGAATATATATTTAAGATGTATGGAAACCTTGTTGGAAATCGTTGGTCTTCACTTTTAAACCCCATCTCTCTCTCTCTGTTTTCATTACCGCAGGCGGTGCTAAATACTGCTGAACGTCTTACCTTTCTGAATGGAATGAAATGAAATTGGGTTTAACCGCTGTGCTCCGTCTGGGCTAATGAAGACGGGTATACGCCATACAGTGTGCTATGAGGGAAGTTTTCCTGTACAGCGCTCCACGGCCTACTCCGATATCGAATTCCGGCTGACAAGTATTATGTTACGTTCACGACAACGTGTACACGGGACCTTGGTTTTTCGTCCCATCCGAACGACTAGACAGCTCTCCATGTACAGACCTCCGTTCTGCCCGCATCGCTGACAGTAGAAACTACTTTTCTGAACTAACTGGGATAAAGAAGACGGACATGCGCCCTCTTGTGCGCTGTGGAACAGTTGGGCTCGGGCAGCGGTTTTTCTGCCGACTCGAAATCCAATTGTCAGGGGTTCTTTTACATGTAGGTGAACGTGGGCATTCGACCCAGGCTGGGGGGGTTGACGGAGATTAGCGCTGATGAAATGAAAGTTTAATGTCCTGCTTTTCTACATCGACTAGGCTAATGAAGACGCACTACGGTCCCCAGATTGTTGAATATAAGGTGTTAAGTATTTTTCTATAATTGCTAATTGTTATATACATTTACGAACAGTTATGATCTTTTCCTGTCCCTTTTATAATTTGTAAATTGATTTCTGTTTTTTACGTCTTTGGTATTATCATCGCCATCAGTATCGTCATTGGTCATGACGAAATAATAAACAAAAACATGTTAATGAGAACACGTTGTTTATAACATGTTCTGTAATTGGAATGTAATTGGAATATTTTTATTTTTATTTTCATTTAGCTAGAGAATTACGGATCGAGCAGTAGTTGTATGCCCGGATACTGGAGGATATTCTAGATACTAGATACGAATGTGAGTTATGATGTATATTTATCAAATGTTATCGAGTGTTTTTAGAAAATGTTGTCAATTATGTATCATTAAGTTGAAAACACACGTATTATTATCAAATTTTGTCGAGTGTTTTTAGAAAATGTTGTCGATTATCATTAGGTTGAAAACACATGTATTTTTCTCAAATGTTATCGAGTGTTTTTTTTAGAAAATGTTGTCAATGATCATCCTTTGAGGAATTATTTATCCCTTTTTAGAGTCCCTGTACCTTTCTAATGTCTTTGGAGGATCGTTATTCTCGTTTTAAAGTTTTTGGCCGTCATGTGGAGGATCGTCAATATCTTTTTAAAGTCATTTGGAGGATCGTTAATCTCTTTTTAAAGTTTATAATCGTCATTTAATCATGCATTATACAAGAGCTAAATCTGCCTATTGCAGGTCTTTCTTTGGGTCTGAAATAGTGTCTAAATTATTAATTTGACATTAATTAACTTATCTAGACCATAATCAACTCTCGATGTCATCGTTGGCCTGCGATATTTACTGGATTTGAATACAGTTTGTGATGGATAATTTGATGTAATAATGGATAATCGAGACTTTGGTTTAAACGGTATTTATTTCGAGAATATTATACAATGTAAAAAGCATAAATAATAGGATACAAAAACAAGCCAAGTAGGCTTATATTAATTTGCTTCCTTCTGGTTTGGGTGTATATTATATGTACAATGTCGAATTATATATGATACAGACAAAAACTAATTACATTATTTTAGTTATGGTACATATAAGCAGTTAAATGATTTTGAATAAATAAATAAATAAATATAAAAAACAAAAATAAATAAAATAAAATGAATAAAAAAATAAAGATAAAAAAATAAATAAATAATAAATAAATAAATAAATAAATAAATAAGTTCGAGACTTTGTTATCATACCAACTTCAGTAATGACGACCGAGACTAGCCGAAAATTCAATGGCTAATATCTCGGTTCAGGGTGGAGCAATTTGACTGAAACGTTCAGCATATTTTGTTATCGTTATCTATTTTTTAACTATTATAGTGAGACCTGCCATCTCTTAATCTACCTATATGCCCTTTTAAAAGATCGACACACTGTTCTGCGCGACCTGGCTAATAAAGACGGGCATACGCCATACAGTGTGCTATGAGATAAATGTTGCCCGGATAGCGGCAGTGCGACCCACTCTTATATCGAATTCCAACTGCCATTGGTTCTTTTAGATGTGTGCATGTCACCTAGGTTTGTCGTGCCACCCGAACGACTATAGACATTGCCCCATGGCAGATCCTGTGTCCTGCACAAGCTGAAATGTGGTAGTCGGGCGTCGGAATATCCCGAGGAACTTTCTAGGCCAACACCGGGAGCGAACCAGAGACCTCCTGGTTAGCTTACGTGGGTGGGGGGGGGGGGTCTGTCCTTCAATAATTTCTCGTCATTCAGCCTTAGTCGTAAATTAGGATGACGTGGATGCGTTTAGACTTGTGTAATGGAGTGATCTGAATGTCGCCACGCATTCCCCTCTTTCGTAATTTGGGAGTGCGCTTTAGATCATAAGGTCTATAATTGAGTCGAGCATAGTGTTTTCAAGCTCCAGCGTGTATATGTCATGACAATGGGTATTTCCCTACGTGAAAGCGAATCATTGAAGTAAAATTGAACCATATGCTAGTCTCGAAATGACCTAGTTTGTGTTGAGTCGACGTTAATCTCTCTCCCCCTCTCTCTCTCTCTCTTAATTTGTGACTAGCGTGAGTTGACTGGTCTGTTGCAATATATTATAAATCAATTTCACTTCTGACTGATCTTAAATGGGGTTATATTTAAGATGAGGTATTAGGCATTAGTTGCCTGCGGACAGTTTAAATTTACAATAATTGGCTTCTAACGAAGTAGCTGGGGATCGAAATAGAGCAATTCAATGAAATGATCGCACAATCACAATTTTACCCACTGTTGTGCTTTTGTCCTATCTTGGTGTTGAGGGTTATACATTATATTTCTATGGTGTAGCGTCATGTTATATTTCTATGGTGTAGCACCATGTTGTATTTATATGGTGTACCTCCATGATTTTGGTAATCTTGTGGTCTGTCCCATTTTGATTATGAGGGTTTTTATATTTATTATATTTATACGTTGTAGCGGGGATTGGATGGCTGAATAGTTAGCGTGTGCGCGCTGTATCATAAAGTCTGTCATTGAGTCGACTGGCGTGGTTTCGAATCCCCGGTTGTACGTGACAAGGAGTAGGGTCGCCTGTCCAACCTCGTGGGTTTTCTCCGGGTCCTCCGGTTTCCTCCCACTGCTAAAGACCCCTACGCGCAAGCGAATTATTGAAATAAAATTAAACCATACGTTAGTCCCGAAATGATCTAGTTTGTGTCGAGTGGACGTTAAACCCCATTTCTCTGTCTCTCTGTCTGTCTGTCTCTCTCTCTCTCTCTCTCTCTCTGGTGTAGCGCCATGTTTAGTGGTAATGTATCGATATGGCGGTTATTTATATGGTGATGCGCCATGTTGTATTTCTATTATGTGGCGCCATGTTTTTTGGTAATGTTGTGGTATGTCCCATCATGATGTTGATGATGTGGTGCAGCGCCATGTTTTGGTAAAGCTGTGGTACATTCCACCCTGATGTAGATAGTTATGTGGTATAGCGCCATGTTTAGTGGTAATGGATCAATATGGCGGTTACGGTAACATTATGCTCAACCAGTTAAGCATCGGAGATTGAGTTTCAAATTTGACCGTTAAAAAAAATAGGCAGAAGATTTGTATCGTATCGTTGAAACACGATATATACTAAGCAGCAAAAGAAACGTCAGTTTGTTATGTTACTCTGAATAGACGCATTGCATAAAACTTACCATTGTATATTAGTGACCACATCTCCAACTTTACCTGAGCAAGAAGGCTCATTCCCAAACACACAATTGAACCCAGGAATTGTTCTCAAAAACGCAAACTGACTTCTGAGAAGGTAATGTGTTCTCCATGATTTTCGTGTAACTCATGCTGCACGTTCTGTTCACCGGGACCAGCCCTATAAAATGCACCCCCATACCTGACAGTTCAAAGGAACCAGGCGTTTGGAAGACTCGACGCTGGCCATACCCATCAGTACCGATACAGTGCGCCAAAGAGAACTTTCATTGCCGTAGACCTTACCGTGGTCTGACACTCACCTCTCGCAATTCACGTGAACGTCTACAGTTTGCCCAACAACACCAGAACTGGCGACACAATCAATGGAGAACTGTTCTGTTCACAGATGAGAGTCGGTATTGCGTATCAACTGCAGATGGCAGGATCAGAAAATGGCGTCGACATGGCCAACGTTATTCTGACCAATGTGTCATGGAACGAGACTCCTGGGGATGTCCAAGCATAATAGTTTGGGGTGGCTTCGGCCTGAACCAGAGAGTGGGTCGAGTGGTGGTCCAAAATCTTGGTCCAGGGAGAGGAGGCGGCATCACAGCAGTGCGCTACATCGATCAAGCTCTCAGACCCCACGTCATGTCACTTTTCGCACGTCATCGAAACAACGTTTTCCAGCACACCGCCAGAGTTACCCGGGTCTTTCTACAACAGAACGCTGTCAACGTTATGCACTGACCAGCCCTTATCCCGGACTTAAACCCGATTGAACATCTTTGGGATGAAATTCAGAGAGGAGACTTAATAACGTCGTACCGAGACCAAACACAGTCGATGGATTGCGCCAGGCTTCTCTGGGAGTGTGGTTCCAGGTGCCAATGGCGCTCTGGTCGACTCCATGTCAGACGCTGCGCTGTTGTTATTGACACTCGCGGTGGACACAACAGATACTGATGTATTGATTGTGTACAGACTCTAAACCTTCTCGTAATATCTTGGAATTGTGGTGAATTAATCACTAATTTGTCAACATACTGTTCACAAAAAAATTGCTTTGATCCATTTAGTGCGTCGTTTTCTAGAATGATTTGATGAAAACGTCAGCTGATTAGTATAGTTAGAGATGTCTTTTCCCTCATGTAATGTAGAATAATGACAGTCAAAACAAAAATTGCAACTATAAAAAACGAAACGAAACTTGGATTTGTGCTAGTAACGATGACATTGGTGATTGGTCAATTAGTAGCGATCTACATTAATTAAAGGGGCATTATGCGAGATTAGATAAAGTGTTGACAGTTCTCGCTATAATAGTTAAAAAAAAGATAACCTACAGAGAATATGTTGAAAATGTCAGTAAAAATACTCCACCGAGATATTAGAGATTGAATTTAAGGCCTAGCCTCGATCATCATTACTAAAGTTGGTACGATAATAAACAAAGTCTCGATTAAACATTCTGACGTTAAATCATCCATCACAAAATGTATTAAAATCCAGTAAATATCGGAGGCTAACGATGAAATCGAAAGTTGATTATGGTCTGTACAAGTTAACTAATGTCTAATTAATAATTTAGATGGCATTTCAGACCTAAAGAAAGGCTTTCAATAGGCAGATTTAGCTCTTGCATAATGTATGTTTAATTAGTTAGTGAATGCCACTGAGCGCTTTTATTAATGGCGATCGTCATTAGAAATATATGTTCTATAATTTTAACAAAGAAACAAAAGCTCTTCTAATCGCACTATCACGTTACGTTAGGGCGGATTATTTGAGATAAGTGGTTCTAAATGCAAATAATTTCTAATACAACACCATAATTCTACATAATAATGCTACTGTAAAAATATTACGTCTCTGAATACTAACAATAATTCTATGATATTACCGACTATTGTCCGAAAACCCACTTTCAGACAAAGTACGACCATATTTAGCTTCATCGAGTTATGAAGGTAATCAAGAAAATGAAATGGGGCGTCCTACCTGTCTGCACCAACCGCTAAAGTGAAGGCGGATTATGTTAAGCACATACTAAACTTACACTGTCTGTCTACAATTAGCTCCTCTTAAGAATAGACACTAAGCCAGTTGATCGACATTTTAATTCCTACATTGACGATTTTAGTCGAAAACTCTAAGTATACTTCAATAATATTGGGATATATTTATCCCGCTTCAGTTTAATATCACGGAAAAGATTAATTATTCTTTTTGTGTACGACATATATTAAATATTTGGATATGGTGGCCATTTAGGGCACAGATCTATTCTTGATGTAGATAGTTGTCTGTCTGCTAAATGCTGTTATGCAGTGTACTATCGGGAGGATATAGTCCGGACAGCGGCATTTCCGCCTACTCGTCGTCAAGTTCCAACTGCAAACGGTGCACGCCAACACGAGTTTTCGTCCCATCCGAGACGCTGTTCCTTGCTAGATATGGAGAACGGATCGCGAGTTTTCGTTCCATTCGCACTAGACGCTGTTTCTTGCTAGGACCCCCTTCCTACACCACTGACAACGGGAAACAAAGCGGGAAAATCCTAGAGCCTCTTTCGGCCAAAAACGGGATCGAATCTGCAACTTTCTAAGGAATTATTAGTGAGCAGAAATTCGGCCGTGTATCAGTCAGTCATATAGAGAGATGACTCGTGTTTTCCTTTGACGTTCGTCACTTCCGATTCAGGAAACCTGTATTACTCAGCTATCGTAGCAATGATCTCTGTGTTAAAATTATATTTGGAATGTGTTTAACCAGCTCTATCACATATTTGATAATAACTGGCACCAATATTGTCCTTTAAGCGATAACCCTAACACATATGTTCGCGTTAGTATTTGAGAGATAACTATTCTATTCCACCCCCACCCCCCAACCTCCCCTTAAGAATTGGTCCCTAACAAATATTTCCACGTTAGTATTTGAGAGGTAGCCATTCTATCCCATGCCCTCCCGCCCTTTAAGCGTTAACTTCTAACAAAATATTAGCGCGGTCGTATTTGCGAGATAGCTAGTCTTTTCTAACAGATATTTGCGATTTATTATTTGAGAGATAACTAATGTCGATAAGAAATAAAACATTACGCAAGGTCGTTGTTTAGATAGATTTAACATTATTTACGACGACAGCACCTATTACAGACCAAATCTGTTAACATCAGCACCTATTACAGACCAAATCTGTTAACATCAGCAGACATTGTGACATAACAAATTATAATGGTTGGGGGGTTTATAGTCTTTATTATATCTCGTATCTTGAAGATCTGGTTGTTGGTTCATCATAGAGAAACCTTTTAAAGGATTTGTTAGACATATTATCGGAGATTTTGTGAGGGATAGAGCACGACCTCGAGGTTATATATTGGAAACTGCGAAACACGATAGAAGTAATAGGAAATCCCACTCGTAAGATAATGACCTCGGTCTACAGACCCATATTTCATTTACATCGGATCTCGATCTGTATAAGAGTTGATTTTCTTTTCGAAATATACAAGGAGTGTTTTGTCGCTTTCATACACCGTTATGAATAGGAAATAAAAATGAAATGGAGTTTAACGCCCTACTGTTCTGCATCCATAGTTCTTATAAAGATGGGCAAACGTCATACAAGGTGCTATGAGGGAAACGTTGGTCGGACAGCTGTCCTACGGCATACACTTATATCGAATCCCACATGTCACGCCCATGTGTAAATGGGAACTCGATTTTTCGTCCCACCCAAACGACTTTAAATTTATAAGTAGGACCGAGGGCTTGGAAGAAACAGCGTCTAGTCGTTCGTATGGGATGAACAGCGTGGTCCAATGCACACATTCACGAGGGATCAAAAAGGCGAGTGAGAGAACGCAAGGAAACAGGGCGAGTATGCGAGGTCGTGTGTACACGTTCGCGTGTACCTAATGGGACATTTACAGTAAGAGTAGGTTGTAGTGCAGCGGTCAGGGCAAAATGTTCCTCATAGTACACCGCGGGGCGGATGGATCTGACCCCGGACCCCCTGGTTAGCGAGCCAGTGCCACCGCGACTCCCAGCACTATGGAACTCTGTTCATAGCTTAGAAAATATAAAATCGCCCTATTATCTAATTAATGACGTGTGGTATAGTTAGGTATTCCCCAGTGGACTGGGTCGAGGCTAATTGTCCAGATGTGTTCCTGTGTATAAATTGTATGTTTCATTTAATGTGTTTGTCAGATGTTGTTATTCAGTCGAAATAGATTATTATAAACCAACTTCATCATAACTCATACATTCAAGATGCATTATGTAAGCTTTAGATAAAGAGTTGAAATTTGTCTCTATAATAGTTAAAAAAATCAGATATTAAAATGCGAATATGTTCAAAACTTCACGCGAACACTGACATTTCCAACTGCCAAGTGTACTTTCGTCCTATCCGAAAAACGTGCACCATGCCCTAAGTTCATCACCTCTAATAATAAACTAGGAACGCCCCGGAATTATACAGAAATATTCCGGAGCTGGAAAACGTTCTTGTCTGAAGTGTTTCTATAAACACTTTAAAGCATACTTTCTATGAGGAGCGTATTGCCTTAGTATTTTTATATACTCCCACCAAAGTAAACGTTAATCGTTAATGTTACTTTCTATAATTTTTTATTTCGTTTATTAATATTTTCAAAGCTTTGTTAATTCGTATTTCGTTTGTTTATATTTTCAAAAATTTGATTATTCTTATTTCGTTTATTTATATTTTCAGAAATTTGCTAAACCTCAAGATGGAACATTCAACACCTATTTACAACTCAACTACAATCACTGAGTTTGGTTTGAACTCTACAGAGTTTGAAAATACGTCCGACAGGTTGCAAACACCAAACATGGATACCGGAATCTACATTCTCGCGAAATTTCATTTGGTTGCCATACCAATCATCACAACGTTTGGACTAATCGGAAATAGCCTGGCATTCTTCGTATTTATCAGCAAATCCTTACGACGTACGTCCTGTAGTTGGTATCTAGCGGCCCGATCGCTGTCCGATACGGGATTCCTCATCTGTTTGTTTATAATGTGGCTCGGGGATGCGTTCAGAGTGCGGATATTCCACACGGTGGTTGTGTGTCAGTGTGTCATATTCTTCACGTACTTTTTCGGTTTTCTATCCGTCTGGTTGGTGGTGTTGATAACGTGTGAGAACTACATCCGGATTTGTCATCCATTTACTGTCGCTCGATTCTGTAACATCCGCGTGGCTAAAGGATTCATCATTGGTTTCAGCGTCGTGGGAGTGATCATTTATAATTTCTCCTTGTGGACGACTCACATTACTGTTCATGGAAACTTACAGACCTGCAGTCCCAATGATAATTATTTGATGATAACTCGTTTCTTGACCTACGGCGATATGATAATAACTCTTTTGATACCCTCTATAGCCATCATACTCCTCATGGTCGCCATTACTCTTAGTGTAATTAAATCATACAAGCGACAAACGAGACTGAGAGGAAAACAGAATTGTTCATCTGTTCAAAATGGCGGCTCTTACAAAAGATCCAATTCTCCACAAGCGAAAGTCACGCGCATGCTCTTTGCAGTCAGCTTCATATTTCTTGCCCTAAATTTGCCAAGTCACGTGGTTCGACTTCGAATAGTGTTGCTCACGTTCCTGAAACATCGTCCCTCCAAACCGACACTAGATCAGATGATACAAGTTATTTTTCAAATCATATATTATATGAGCTTTGCAGTAAATCTATTCGTGTATTTGTGTTGCGGTGACAATTTCAGAAAAGTTTTCGTGGACAGATATTTTAGTTGTTTTAAAAGTGCTATAAATCGAAAGAACGAACAGTCCCACACGTCATTCACGGCGATGCCCGGACGATGTGACTTTCCGGAAATACAAAATAAAGATGAAGAAGTGTGTAAGGGTGAGGAAGAAACGTCGCTTATTAATTAAGCTTGAGCAACGTCTTCAATAGCCCTGTGATCGTAAAGCTGTAGAACGTTAAACCCTATTTTATTTCATTTTATTTTTTATTACGCTAATATTCCAGTGTGTCCTTTAGATAGAGACACTAATGTTCAGGATTGTGATTCACTCTATCTTTCCTACTCGAAACTCTGATAATTAATGTAGACATCTTGTGTTGCAACTAGATGTCTTGTGTAAAAGTAGACATTTTGTGTTGCTACTAGACACCTTGTTTAAAAGTAGACACCTTGTGTTGGTACTAGACACCTTGTGTTGCTACTACTACACAATTTCTTGTGTTGCTACTAGACATCTTCTTGTGTAGCTACTAGACACACTATATTGAAATAGACATCTTGTGTTGAAATAGATATCTTCGGTTGAAATAGACATCTTGTGTTGAAATAGATATCTTCGGTTGAAATAGACACCTTGTGTTGTGTTGGTTGTAGATAAATGATGCTGATAGTAGACACCGTGGACAGCATGTAGACTTCTTGTACTTGCGTGGGCACCTTGTGGCGAGACTATACACCTTGTGCTTAGGGTGGATATTTTGGACTGCACGTACTCATAGTGTGCTGGGAGTACACTCCTTGGGCTGCAAATAGACACCTAAGACTGCATGTAGACACCGTACAAATATTCATCCTGTGCTGCAAGTAAAATCCTTGTAGGACACAAGACTTTTTGTGATGAAGTAAAGACCCTGGAATGCATCTCGGCAACATATGCTGAACGTAGCTATCTTGTGTTGCCATATACTTCCAAACGAATGTTGACCTATAAAGGGTCTGAATAACTATAAGAAATATGTGTAAGAACGCGAAGGATTCCTGTCATTAAGTTGTTAAACGAAATAGCCATTTCGATTAATGGGGGCGTTGTTCTTGTTGTTTGGGACTGGGATTTGCCCTACCTTTGTAGATATTCACAGCAGACATTTCGTCTTTCCATAAGACTGGGGCCTGTTTCACAAAATTTTAACTAAGATAAAATCCAGATTTTAGTAATTTGATTGGATAATATTTGATTGATTTTAGTGCTTAGCCAATCAAAATTGAAGTATCTACTAAAATCTGGATTTTATCTTTAGTTAAAATTTCGTGAAACAGGGCCCTGGTTTATTAATTTATTAATTTATTTTTTTATTTCTCTAGAACGAGGAATTTTCTTTGTGTTACTTAAGAGGCATCAAAGTAATATTTTTCCAGGTCCTGTTTTACCTAAACGTTCTGTAATGGATGCCTTGATTTATTTGTCCATGTATGTATGTTCTTGTAAACGAAGTGACCAGTGCTAAAATAATTCTTAAGAATTGTTTAAATGTTTTGAGACTGGTTAAATGGGTGTTATAGAAAATACTTGTTACGGGATTGTGGGATCTAATCAAATGCTCAGGTTTGGGTTCATGTGGACAGAATTTGAAATAATTTCCAGCAAGTACTGTTTTGTGAGTTGTGAATTTTAATATCGTGCCTCTAACTTATAGTATTCGATGCTAAGGATGCTGTCCCTATTTTTCGGGATGAGGTAGTATGTGGTGGTATTTGGTAGTATTCGGTTAAAATGGGATGGTGATGGGTAGTATGGGGTAAATCGTCATGTCAGATTCATCCAGAATATAGTACCCTGGCATTAATTATATTCAAATAGAATGGACTATCCAAGATGTCCGTTTTCGGATCACGTCACGAGTTATCCGGTGGTGGTAGTAGTCGTGGTCACCCAGAAACTCATAGCCTTCAATGTATGGATGGTCTGGATCCGTTCCATTGCCTATGTGTAACCGGGAAATATACAGTAAATGTTGCCAACTCAAGTATGAGTTCCGCTCCTCCCCGAAATAAATTCCATAATTCATGCATTATTAGAAACAAACATGAATCCTGACGACGAATTAGGATTAATTAAAAAACATAGATATGATCCATGAAGATATTGAACTGACAATGCAAATGGCAATTCTTAAATGGATTTCTGAAATGGCAATTCTTAAATGGATTTCTGAAATGGCAATTCATAAATGGATTTCAGAAATGGCAATTCTTAAATGGATTTCTGAAATGGCAATTCTTAAATGGATTTCTGAAATGGCAATTCTTAAATGGATTTCTGAAATGGCAATTATTAAATTAATTTCATGGGCGTCGACATCTGTTTTTAGAGTTAGTTACATGCCTTAGACTTTGTTCATGATAATATAAGAAACCGGATAATCCAGTAGACGTGGTACAAGGGTTAATCAGCGAACTGGATGTATGAGATGTGTTGTTGACGTTTGGGAAAGTAGGACGAGGGGAAATGTGTTGGGAGTGAAGTGCTGTAAAGGGATAGTTAGATGTATTATGAATGGTTAGAGTGGCTGTGGTGTTACGGTGAAATACTATGCCGCCACCGTAACACCACAGCTTTATGATTTGTTAGACAGGAGTGATGTAATGGGTGTCAACAACTAGGTATGTTGGTACCGTCGCAACGTAGCCGTGAAATATATATTGTGGGGGGGAAGGGCGGAAATGGAAAAATATACAATGTTGACAGTATGTGCCAGGCATGAGGCTGCGCAGACCGAGCGGGAGCTCGATAGGGAGGGTCACCCTCATAAAAAAAATTTTTTTTTAAATTTCAGTTTTCTGTAAGCAGTGAAAACACTATTTTGGCATTGTTTGCGGGGTTAAACCTAAAACTCACATTAATACACCTATTGCACGATATTGTGAAACTAGCTGACGAAGACAGCTCGGGCGGCGATTGTTCGACTCGGGGCTGCTCTGTCAGTATCTGACAAACGCATTTAGTTCGCGTACAACTTTTAAAAACCGAATGTCAGTATGGTATTTCTCACATAATTGGTTATCGCAAAAACAGAGTAAACTGAAAGCGAGTAATCTCGACTCAAACCTATAGTCTATAGCCTACTTACTACACTCGTCACTAGGCTTCCTATATTATTGTTTGTGGACGGTTTACTACTCAGTGATAAGCCTGCGCCGCAAAAAGAGGTCTCGCCTTTTATTATTAGTATAATGACTTCCTCATGTGCGGCAGGTTAGTTTGCTTCTAAAAACACTGTTTTCCGTTCCAAAAAATACAAAAGTAATTTTCTACCAGATGACCATGGTTCTTTTCACCGAGACTAGATAATTTCTCTCGGTGTAAGGATATAGCTATGGATAAGTTCATACAAGGTCAATAAATCCGCGGTCACTTCGGGTCACACTGTTGAGAAAATAAACCGATGGGTTTGTTTAGTAGCAAATCGAGCGTGAATCAACTGAGTTTGTACTGAAAAATTTTTGAGTGATATGTATGAACTGTCTTCACACATTCGGTTTATAATTAGCGATACACAGGTACAGTGGCAAGTGTTGTACTTCACAGACTGTTTACCTCCGAACTACCTCCGCACGAAATCCCCGATTTGGGTACTTGTTAAAAGAAAAAGAAATAGTACCTGTGCGCATGCCAGTAAAAAAAACTAAGAGTTCGCGCATAAAAATGCCCGAACGTACCAGGCGCCAGGTCATCTAGCCAATGACCTATTATTCTCAAATGTTATCAACCCGTGAGAAGCAGATTTTGCGGAGCGTTTCTATTTTTATCGCCTCATCAAATCTCTAACTTCTTTCATTGTCGGGGACGTAGTTGTCTTCTGCCCAGTTTGTATGCAAGCATTGAGAGAAGTAACATGAAAGTCCGGCTTCGGGCAGTTGATATACGTCACGCGGGAGTCCGACTGGTAGATCTTCGGACAGTGGATTAATTCACTTATTATGGATTGTGAAACCATTATTCGCCTGCTTCGTTGTCCAACATATGATAAACAGATTATACGTCAGTGTTGACGTTACAGTTGTTTTAAATAGCCTTGTTTGTCACACAATTATTTTTTCTACTTTGAGCTGATATATAGCTGATAATAAATTTTGTGCGTAACGCAGTCTCGATTGCCATTATTATACACATTGACGGTGACTTATTTAGAGCTCTGGTTAATACCAATTGATTGGTACGCTGTAATGGATTGGTTGTTAATCAGACTGTTAACCAGTGATACATTGGGACAGGAATCACCAGTTTGTCCAGCAGTGGTGGAGTGGGATAAGGTATCATCAAACGAAACACTGTGAGAAGTACGTGGATTGCAACGCCTCCGCAATACACCATCACACCCCAGTCGCCTGTCAATGCTTGGTGTACATGCAAACATAACAGATAGCTGGTGACCACTAATTAGCCTGTTTAAAATATGGTACTTCATAATAGTTGGTGACCACTAAAATATGGTACTTCATGGTATTAAATATGGTACTAAAATATGGTACTCAAAATGCCAGTGCTCAGCAAACACGTGGCTAGATGTTGCTAAGTGTCTAGTGAAAAACGTTCCAACGAAAAGTTGGAGCAGGGCAAAGAGATCGGAATTAACATTAAAGTCAATGGGTCCAATAAATTCGGTCTGACGCCGAGCGCTATATAGACTAGTTTTGCTTACACACCAAAGAGACTGGCATTAACATTAAAGATGCATTATGTGAGATTTAGATAAAGAGCTAGCCATTCTTGCTATAATAGTTCGAAAATAGATCATGTAAAATGACATAATTTGAAAATTTCACTCCAATTACTATATTGCGAGCGAAGATATTAGCCTTTGCAGGTTTGACAAGACGTTTGCAATAATTGCAAAATATGACTGAACCGTTCTAATCTATTTAATATCGGAGAAATCCGATGCCATCGAGAGTTGATTATGGCCTGGATCAGTTAATTAATGTCTAATTAATATTTTAGAAAACATTTCAGGTCTAAAGAAAGACCTGCAATAATGTATGTTTAAAGTCAATGGATACAATAAAGATGGGTTGTCTCGAAGTGCTAAGTAGACTAGTGTTACTTGGTTGTATAAAAGTGCTATATAGACTATTGTTACTTGGTTGTATAAAAGTGCTATATAGACTATTGTTACTTGATTGTATAAAAGTGCTATATAGACTATTGTTACTATAAAAGTGCTGTACATGTAAAGTATTGTTACACGTGTTTTCAATATGTGTTGTATTGTCACACTCACACCCCTCTTTCTATTCATACAAACATTTGTTCAAAATAAATAGTTAAAACTGAAGTGTGTCTTATTGTGTTCTTGCTTTCTTATGCGGGCCGGTGAGTAAGACGTTGGTTCGCTAACCAGGTGGTCCCGTGTTCGATCTCGGTGTTTGCCGGGAAAGTTCATCTCCCACTTGTCAGTA